TTCATTCGAAACTACCAGGCTGCTTCAAATATGAAGGCCGTATTTGATGTTGGGGCAAGTTGGATGATTTCATGGTATAATGATAGGGATTTATGGATGACAGACTCTATGACAGGCATTGTGATTTACACCACATCATTTTATTTAATTCTTGCAATAGCCTCAAGAGTTAAGTGCTATTATTATCATTCCCAATTCTATAATGAAGGGAGTAAGGCTCAGAGAAGTTAGGCAACTTCTACAAAGTTGCATAGCTTATTGGTGGCAGAGCTAGAATTCAAACTCAGGCCAGTCTGTCCCCAGAGCCTACAATATATTCACCACCTTGTTTCACAGCAATAAGTTCTGTTTCTCTGGAGTATAAAGTAGCGAATGGGTGGTAAGACAATGTTAAAAAATTCGGGCTTTATTCTCCTGTTTCTCTGACCTTGAGCAAGGCTGGTTGTTCCTACTGATTCCATGTCTTCTCTGAGAACATGCTTGCACGACATGCCAGGCACCACCTGACCTTGGGTCTGTGGCACCTGCTGCTGATGCTGAGGTTGCCGCAATTACCTTCCCAAATGCCTTTGAGCATTTACAACAGGGAGCCTCTTTCTCTTCCAGGGGGATCATATTTAACTCCATGGGAGGAGGCGAGGGGTAAGCTTAATTATTTTTAATGCTATTATTACAAATAGCAGTTATTATTTATCGGGCACTCGCTAGGTGTCAAGAATCTGGTGGAACACTTCAATCCTCGCAGCAAGTACTATTGTCATCATCCCTAGTTTAGAGGTGAGGAAACTAGGCGCAGGGAAGTTAAGTAACTTACATAAGCTCACACAGCTGGTGGACGCAGAAGATTCAAGCAGAGAACTGGTACATTTATTTTAACAAACCTTATACTTTTCATGTCTTACTTTGCCCTTGTAACTACACCATTTACAAATACAAATGTAATCCTCTCAAATGCTTCTACCACCTACACGATTTATTACCACACAATAGTTCAAACCCTGGTTGTAATGATATGTATGCAAATGTGCCAGTTTTCTCAAAATTATCGCATGCCATAGGAAGTCATTCTGTGGCCATTATCAGAGAGACAAGAGATGACAAGTGTCGGAGGGGATATGGAGAGAACAGAACCCTCGTGCACTGTCTGCAGGAATGCAAATTGGTGCAGCCACTATGGAACACAGTGTGGAGGTTCCTCAAGAACTTTAAAATAGAATTAGCAATTGATCCAGCAATCCCACTTCTGGGTTTATATACAAAGGGAATTGAAGCTAAATAAGTCAGTCAGAGAAAGACAGATATCCTATGATTTCACTCATATGTGGAATTTAAGAAACACGACAGATGAACACAGGGGAAGGGAAGGAAAAGTAAGATTAAAATAGACAGGGAGGGAAACCATAAGAGACTCTTAAATACAGAGAACAGACTGAGGGTTGCTGGAAGGGAGGTGGGTGGGGGGATGGGGTAAACGGGTGATGGACATTAAGGAGGGCACTTGTTGGGATGAGCAGTGAGTGTTGTATGTAAGTGATGAATCACTGGTTTCTACTTCTGAAGCCGAGACTACACGTATGTTAACTAACTTGAATTTAAATAAATAAAAAAAATTAAATCACTCTCTTGAAGACATATCTGCATCCCCGTGTTCACTGCAACATTATTTACAACAGCTGAGACATGGAAATATATATAAAATATTATTCAGCCTTTAAAAAAAGGAAATGGTGCCATTTGTGACAACATAGATGAAACCAGAGGACATTATGCTAAGTGAAATGAGTCAAAGACCAATATGCTACGGTCTCACTTATACGTGGAATCTGAAAGAACAAGAAGAACCCAAACTCACAGAAACAGAGAGTAGGTTAGTGGTTGGCAGGGGCAGGTCGTTGAGGGAAATGGGTAAAGATAGTCAAAGGGTACAAATTTCCAGTTAGAAGATAAATAAGTTCTGGGGATGGTGACTACAGCTAACAATACTGTATTGTATCTTGGAAAGTTGTTAAAAGAGTAGGTCGTAAAAATCTTCACCACACGTACACACACACACATACCCCTACACGTGTGTGCACACATACAAATAAGGGAACTATGCGAGGTGAAGGATGTATTAACTAACCATATTGTGGTAATCATTTCACAAAGTACACACATATGAAATCGCGTTGTACACTTTAAACTTACATGATGTTATAGGTGAATTATGTCTCAGTAAAGCTAGGAAAAAAGTCATTCTTCCCCTCCTCCACTTACTATTTTATTCTTCTTGAGAAATGGCAATTTATAATAATTACATTGCAGGCTAAATTTCAGCTATATAGTATAAACCCTTAATCTGAAATTGAAGATTCTTTAAAAGTTGCCAAGTATGGGGGCACGTCGATGGTTCAGTTGGTTGAGCGTTGGACTCTTAATTTCGGCTCAGGTGGTGATCCTAGGGTCTTAGGATCGAAGGCCACCCCAGCATGGAGCCTGCTTAAGATTCTCTCTTTCTCTCTGCACCTCTCCCCTGTGCAGTCTCTCTCTCTCTCTCTTTCTAACAATAAAATACATCTTTAAAAAAGTTGCAAAGTATGGTTATGAGACCATTATAGACTCCAGTCCCATTTGACTCCCCTTCCAAGGAGAATTTGTGCAAGTGCTTCACAACTAACAGAAAGTGATATTCTGACCTACTTGGGCCTCCAAGTGCTCTCAGGAATCCCCCCAGCAGGTAACCAAAATTGAGGCTTAGAAAGAAATTGCCTGAAAATTGAATTCTCAGTAATTTAGAAGGGCTGGTGCCTGAATGCTTGAAATGGCTGATCTATAAATTTGAGAAATACTGGGGAGCCTGGCTGGCTCAGTTGATGGAGCCTGTGACTCTTGATCTTGGGGTCAAGAGTTCAAGCCCCACCCACCGTGTAGAGATTACTTAAAAATCAAATCTTTAAAAATGTGAGAAACACTGTGAAAAATTAATTTAAAGATAGATACTGTTTGCTAAAATAGCTCATTGTTATTGTCTGTTTCGAATTGGTGGCGATGCATTAAACCTTGTTAATTTTTTTTCTTATCTGGAGCAGCTAGCTGAATATGCTGAGTTCTGGCACTAGGTGGCAGCAAAAGATTAAACTAGAAACGTCCCCCTTTTGTTTTCTCTATTTTCGAAATTTTGATAACAATAAAAATAAAGTCCATTTCCTGGATTTAAACAAAGAAGGCACAACACACATCCTTGTTGCTGTGACAGCCTCACTGAGTGAGAGGCTGGGTTGTTGCTGCTAAGTGGGCCCCTTAGAGAAACCACCAAGATTTGAGGAATTATAGGTCTTAGTTTGACCTCCAGTTTTTAATGGTCTGGACTCCGTTTTGTGTCACCTGGAAAGTTGAGGGATTAGAAGTTTGAAGGTGAGGGTACAGGGGTGAACCGACTCCTGTGAACCAGTTACTAAAAGTCTGGATAATAAATCATTTTAAAAAGAGAAATCTAATTTTCCTTTTTAAAAAATGTTTGTTTTTGAGAGCTAGAGAGAGAGAGAGTGAGAGAAAGAGAGACAGAGAGAGACGGAGACAGAGGATCCGAAGCAGGCTCCACACTGACAGTGGAGAGCTTCATGCGTGCTGGAGCTCACAAATCTGTGAGATCATGACGTCAACCGAAGTTGGACGCTTAACTGACTGAGCCATCCAGGCGCCCCAAGAAATCTAATTTTCAAGCTGATGACAGCACTTGGGCTAATTAATTCAGTGAATGCTCTTCCCATGTGGACAAGATGAATAAATTTAACCCAGATGATCATTTTGAGAGCCAAGGGAGTTGGCTGATGGTAAGGGCATCTCAAACTTACTACGTCTGATATTCAGCATATCCGTGTGTGTGTGTGTGTGTGTGTGTGTGTGTGTGTGTGTGTGTGTGTTAAAGCACTCTCTACACCCAAGTGGGGCTCAAACTCATAACCTGGATATTGAGTCGCATGCTCTACTGACTGAGCCAGCCAGGTGCCCCTCCTTGTTTTTTCTTTTGATCTCCAGAACTTCCCCCTCTTGTGTTTCCTATCACAGTCAATGGTACCACCATCACCAGTTATTAAAAATAGGACTTTGGGTATCATCCCATATATACACATACATATACATATATGATGAGGTAAGGGTCTGATTTCATTCTTTTGCATGTGGCTAACTAGTTGTTCTAGCACCATATGTTGAAAAGACTAAAAACGTGATTCTAATGGCCTGTTTGCTAGAAATGGTGTGACATAGTCCATACTCCAGTGGTTCCAAAGTATAGTTTCCAGAGCAGTAGCACTGGTATCACCTGCAAACTTGTTAGAAATGTAGTCTCAGATCTCATCAAAGACCTACTGAATCAGAAACTCAGGGGTTGGGCCCAGGAATCTGTGTTTGAATTAAGCCCATCAGGGGATTCTGATGCAAGATCTAGTTTAGAACCGAGGCAAGTCAAATCAAGTGATGAAGCACATGTACTCAATGAGTATCTGTGTATGGATTATCTCCCTTTCCCTCTCACACTTGGTCAGGCCACCAAATTCTATTGATTCTTCCTCATGAGTATTTCCTGCATGCATTTGCCACCACTTCTTCCTATTCTCAGCCTCATTATCTCAGCTCAGGTTCTCATCACCTCTCACTACAGCAGCCTCCTAATTCCCCTTTCTACCTTGCGCTTTCTCCCTTCCAGGTCAACCCAAGATTTCTAGAATGCTGTTCTCAAATACTACTTTGCATACATCAGTCAGTGCCCCACTCAGACAGGAAAGTGGTAATGCCTCATTGCTTCCAAGATGAAGTACATATTCAAGGATCTCCTTAATTTGGTTCCAGAGAGACTTTAAAACATTTTTCACTTATGAATTCTCAACAGGAACCGCCCCCTACATAAATTATTCCTTAGACAGACCATGAGCATATTTGCCTTTGTACCTTCCTCTTTTCCAAATTCTCCCACCCCATACTCATCACCTCTCCCATTTAACGCCTACTCTCTCCCCTAGATTTGAGCTTAGATGCCTTGTCTTTGAGGATGCCACCCTTCAGTGCTTCAGGGAAGGTAAGGCACCCCTCTTCTTTGCTCCCATAGAACATTATGCTTACACATTGTATTTTAATTGTCTGTTTGTCTGCTTTTTCATTAGTGTATAAACTCCCTGATGACAGGAACCTTGTTCATTAACTCAACAAATATTTCTTGACCAGTACTACATGTCGGGCCCTGTATCCCCAGCATCTAGGGAGTATTTCATAACAAATTTTGATAGATTAAAGTGAGGTTTATCCTTTGTTTATGCTGGCCCCTTCAGCCACCTATTATACTATAAACCATGTTTTGGGGGATGAATTTTTGGACACTTAGGGTGACACCTGAGGTCAAGTATGTGCTACAAAAAATATAAGAGCAACAGGCCTAATGACAAAGAAGAAGGTAAGGAAGGAAACTTGTACTCACCAATGACAGCATGCCAGGTACCTAACAGGAAATAAAGCCCTTTATTTTCTCCCTCTCTATAATTTATGTAAATTTGAAAACTGAAATTAAATATGTGCAAATAGGAGAATTCGGCTTGAAAAGTAAATCCTTTTTTGGCACATTTTGGGTGCCAGAACAGATGAGCGTTAGGAAAATGTCGGGGTGCCTGGGTGGCTCAGTGGGTGAAGCGTTGGACTTTGGCTCAGGTCATGATCTCATGGTTTGTGGGTTCAAGCCCCAAGTTGGGCTGTGTGTTGACAGCGTGGAGCCTGTTTGGGATTCTGTATCTCCCTCTCTCTCTGCCCCTCCCCCACTCACACTCTGTCTCCCTCTCTCTCTCAAAAATAAATTTTTAAGAGAAAAAGGTTAGGAAATGTCTTTTAAGTGTGAACTGAGTCCCACTATTCATAATTTACAGGGACATTATGAATTATTTTCCCACTTCTTATCCTAGTCTCCTCTAATTAATTAAGGGCCGTGGATCCTTTAGGGGCTTGCAAATCAATATAAACAACGAACCTTTTGCACAATGAATAGATCTGGTACACATATGCAGTGTTTAAATGTATGCAGATGTTCTTGTGATGAATAAAATATAGATTCACATACTTTTAGAAATAAATGTTTTGGGCGCCTGGGCGGCTCAGTCAGTTAAGCCTCCCACTCTTGGTTTTGGCACATGTCATGATGTCACCGTTGTGAGATCAGCCTCACGTCAGGCTCTGTGCTGGGCGTGGAGCCTGGTTGGGATTTTCTCCCTCCCTCTCTCTCTGCCCTCCCCGTTCACATGCTCTCACTCTCTCTCTCTCTCTCTCTCTCTCTCTCAAAAAAAAAGAAATTTTCGTTTCTTCTTATTACTAAAGCAATACATACATATTGTAGAAAACTATGAACTGTGGAAAGGAAGAACGTAAAGTTTACCTAAAATCCTTCTACCCAGAGGTAGCTACAGTTGTGTATTTTTCAAGAAACTTTTCTTTTATAATAGATTGAGATTTGTAGAAAAATTGTGAGGATAGTGCAGAGAGTACCCATATAGCCCCCACTTAGTTTCCCCTATTATTAACGTCTTACATTAGTATGGTACACTTGTTAAAATTAATGAATCAATATTGATTCATTATGATTAATAGCAGTCTATATGTTTCTCACATTTCCTTAGTTTTTAGCTAATGTCCTTTATCTGCCCAAGATCTCATCTATTAGTTACCACATTACATTTGGTTGTCCTATTAAGCTCCTCCTAGCTGTGACATTTTCTCACACCTTCTTTGTTTTTGTTGACATTGACAGGTTTTTAAAATGTTTATGTTTATTTATTTATTGAGAGAGAGAGAGAGAGAGAGCCCGGGAGGGGCAGAGAGCAAGAGGGAGAGAAAAATTCCAAGCAGGCTCCACTCTGTCAGTGCAGAGACCAACCAGGGGCTCGAACTCAGAACCATGAGATCATGACCGAGCCAAAACCAAGAGTCAGCTGCTTAACTGACTGAGCCATCCAGGCACCCCGACGTCGACAGTTTTGGGGAGTACTCATCGCGTATTTATAGAATGTCCCTCAGTGGGGTTTGCTTGATGTTTTTCTCATGATTAGACTGGGGTTATGGGATTTGGGGAGGAAGACCACAGAAGTAAAGGACCATTCTCATCACACCATATCAACCGTACTATATTTAAGATATACATATTTTCCCCACTACCCAAAACTAGAGCATCCCTATGAAGTTTTTCATAAGCTGAAATGGCTTAAAGCTAAGAGACAATTGCCATTCATTATATGGGGAAAAATTTGAGCATTCCCAGGTCCAAAAAATCACCTCTCTTAGGATTTTCTGGTACCTTAGTACACATCTTGCTAATGGAGGGACAAAATAAATCCAGATAGAGGACAGATGCTCCCAGACAATGGTTCAAAGCTTTGGTGGCTGGATGCTGACATGCTGAGGGTAGTCGCCAGGGAAGGGGCTGGAAGGCGCCACTCTCACTGCTCCGGGAATGAGCCACCTCTACAAAAGCTCACCGCCAAACCAACACTCAACCCTCTCCTTGTGTTTCCTCTCTTTTCCTAAAAGCAAAAATCCGCTTTGGATTTCTATCGCTTAGCAAAAATGGGTATCAATGTATGTCTTTCATAAAAGGAAAGTGGTGTGATGCAAACTTTTGAAAAGCAGGACATACCTATATATATTGTTACACTGCACACAGTATTTTGTACCCTGTTTCTTTTTCATTCAAATGCTTATCATGAGAGCCTTCCATACCATTAATAGCAGGGTAGGAGTATGTACAAGTTCGTGTTAAAATTTGAATGACTTCTGAGGAGTATTTTGTCTCTGTGTGTTTTATTTTTAAAGCCTTTTTAAAAATTTGATTTTATTTTAGAGAGAGAGTGCAGGAGTTTGGGAGAGGAGTAGAAAGGCAGAGAGATTGAGAGAGAGAGAGAGAGAGAGAGAGAGAATTCCAAGCAGGCTCCATACTCAGCACGGAGCCCAAAGCAAGGCTTGATCCCACCACCCTGGGATCATGACCCCAGCCAAAATCAAGAGTCAGTCCCTCAATGGACTGAGCCACCCGGGCGCCCCTCCATGTCTTTCTTTAAAAGATGGATTCCCTGGATCCAATTCCTACAGGAATTTGTTTACATTATAAAGGGAGCTCTAACTGAAGAGTCTGCTTCCTGTATCCTGGCATTGCACATCAATGGCTCTTGGTTGAATTGGACTTTGTGAGCTATTTTCAGGCACTCATTGAATTTGCCTTGGGGTGAGCAAGATGAGAGCAGGTAAGAGAACCATATAGGGGATGGACTAGGTAGAGAATGAAGAAAAACAGGAGACTTAGACTTCTACCTAAAGGGGGAGAGTCCAATTCAGAGTCACTACCTGGGATAGTATCAGAATGGAGAGTATCAGAAAGACTCTTTCTTACTAAACCACAGCATATTCCCATGAATTAAGAGACAAGGGGCATGGCAGATTTGTGACAGTAGATAGTTGGGTCATTTAGAAGTGATATTTTTATGGAGTGGAAAGTGACCCCAAACAACTAGCTGATTTGTCCTTTAGTCAGCATTTTATTAAATATTAAAATTTAGTTCATCTGGTTGGACTTTTGCCTCCCATAATCATCACATAATCACATCACAAAATCACATCATTTAAAAACCAACACTGTGGCTGAACACAATCACCTATTTTGGGTGTTACTGCTAATTGGACAATATTTACTTACTATTCTATATGGGCTAGAGGTAAACCAACTACATTATTAGTTTTAGATAACACAGATTGTGCTGATTTTTGCCTATGCATCCAGAAAAATACATTTGTAGTATCATGCTAGGAAGTGAGGGGCAGGGGGCTTAGACTGGGAGCATCATACCAAAGTATAACGTATTTGCAGCAATAAATCAGGGTTCAGAGGAGGCTATAGAAATAAGACTGCCAACCCATACGAGATGTCCAAATTCATCCAAATAATAAGCAGCCAGGACATCTGAGTTTATTCATTCAAATGTGGTATGCTGGCTACAGCAGTAGACTGAGAAGTATATAACCCTGATTCATCACTTCCTGGCTTGGAGTTTCAATCTCTGAAGGTTCTCTTTAGCGCTCCTAGTCTATGAATCTATGATTCTACTCAGTATGAAGCACTATTCTGGGTTGTTTGTGGGAGTCAAGGTTGTATAAAACACTGTCCATGTTCTCAAAAATCAAAGTAAGGAGTTGAATGGTCCCATGAACACTTAGCAAACATTTGCCACCAGAAGTCAAGAAGGCCTCTAGTACAGAGATAGAGATAGGGCATATCAGGGAGAGTGACACATTTCCAACAACAAAACAAGGCTATGATGTTTGCCTTAGCTTCAACTCCAATTATTCTGCTCCAAATATCCCCTTAGACACTGCTAATATGAAGTGATGACATTAATTGAAAAACAAATACACCGGAACTTAGGCATGTGTGTAGCCTCTTTGAAATAATATCCTTGAAAGATTATTTGAAGATACTTGATAACTGCCTTCATAGCATGTGGCACATGTTCAAATTTACTCAGTTGGAATAGACTTTGGTCATTGGAGAGCAGACAATGTGTTTGGGAATGGCCACATGCCATTTAGAGCCAAGTCAAATGAATAAGACAAGTGATAGAGCTAGGCCATAAATTTTGAGTTAAAAATGAAGTGTGACAATTAAAAAATGAGATTGACTTTCTTGAGGACCCTGTAGTTGGCTCTGAAGGCAATTCTTATTCCTAGAGATAGTTTGAGCATCACAGGAACAAGTAGATGTCCTCCCAAGGGAAGCACTTTGAAAGACAACAGCACATGCCTAGCATACTTATGATTTCACTGTTTGTTTAGTTAGCAACATCAGCTATGTTATCAGCAGTTAAATATTATACCCAACTATTCCTTGTCATTACGTTTTTGTGACAAGTAATATCTTTCACTTCTGAAGGAAGACATTTTCAAGTAACACTTACTTTCAAGCGATTTTCATTTGCCCCTCACTGGTGCCTTGCATTATGCTCTAGACGTTGAGCTGGATAACTCCCGCAGCAACCCACTATGGAATAACCATCATTTCCCTCATTTTATAGATGAAAAAACCGAGGTCCAGAAAAGTTATGTGGCATCGTGATAGAAATCAGGATCTTCCTTCAAGTTTGCCAAGGATCATAAAAGAACCCTTTTCTGTAGTGCGTTGAAGAAGTTCTTGTGCAGTGAGCAATGTATGAAACATTAGTACAATTTATTTTCTCTTTTCTTGGTATTGCAACACCGTTTGAACCAACCAGCCAGAGCGCACCGTTGCCTTCCATACTTGCCTGCCAGAGACTAATGTAATAAAACTGACATTTCATTTATTTGACACCTGTTTCTCAACAATAACCCTTCCGAATTTGCCAGTTAACCACACGAGGGTTTCCCCTCTTTTGTTGTGTGGTTGGTTGGTTGGTTTGATTGAGCTTCAAGTTTTTTGACTCACAGCGCATATTCACCTTGGTTGCTGGTAAAAGTTATTTTAAATAGTCTCCAGGCTTCTCAATTTTTTTTTTTTCACAGCCAAGGAAATAGTAACTATCCAACCCGAGGTAATTAATCATTCTGGACTGTTTTCTTATCTTTCACCTGGGGATAAAAATGTTTGCCTTACCTTTCCTCTCAGAATTGATGGACGGTCTGAATGCAGTAATGTCACTGAATGGACGTTGATGAAATATAATGCATGGTATAAAATGCACAGTATTGTTTTTTTCACATCAATTATGTGATTGACTAACCACTAAGCCAATGTGTATTTTGATGTAATTAGATCTAGGTTCTGGGCTGGCTCCAGAGAAAGATTACTTTCTTTGTCTTAGCTCCAGAAAACAGAAGAGGGTCGTGCATCACCAAAGGCCAGGCCCTGAAAGATCTCCACTACTCACTGTCAAAAACATTTGATTATATTTCACAATGTATACAAATATCAAATCATTATGTTGTACACCTGAAACAAATGTCATGTTACATGTCAATTATATCTCAATTAAAACAGGTCAAAAACTGCAAAGTACAGTTTTGAGTTGAGAAGCTTTCTTAAAATCTAGATTGTAGCTGTCTCGCAAAAAGATACAGAATGCTGTACGAGGCTTGCTTTATGTTATATTGCAAACTAATAGAAGTTGAAATTGGTAAAACAAAACATCAAAAATTCCCCGAAACTCCCAAACCCATTCAATTAGGTGGTTTACAGCAATGAACCAAATGGGGAGAACCACGGGAGGGAGCAAAAGACCTCCCTGCAAGAAGCGGGAGGCCTTTCAGCCCTGATTCTTGCCCACTCTTTGAAGATAAGTGAGGCTCTGGTGCATTCTGACCATCAGTTTCTTTTTTTTTTAATTTGTTTATTTTGAGAGAGAGAGAGAGAGAGAAGCAGAGAGAGGGGGGGAGAGAGAGAGAAAATCCTAAGTAGGGTCCGCACTGTCAGCTCAGAGCCTGATGTGGGACTCAAACCCATGAACTCTGAGATCATGATCTGAGCTGAAGTCAAGAGTGGGATGCTGAACCAACTGAAACAGCGCCCCAATCAGTTTCTTTAATTAAAGTAAGTGAAGAGGTGAAGAGAATAATGCTTTGCTTATCTCATTGGGTTACCGTGAAGAGCCTTGCCAACGGTAAACAGCTATGCACAAAGTAAGGAATTAACAAATGTTTATTGAGTGCCTATTGTATACAGTGCACAGAAGAAATATCCCCTGCCCTCCAGAAACTGGAAGTCTACTAGAGAAAGAATAAATGTTTAAAAATAAGGAACTGAGAGGGAGACAGTCGTAAGCGCCAAAATAGAGGTAAACATCACTCTTACAAATAAATCAACTAGGTGGTGAGTGGAATAGATCAAGAAGACGATTAAAATGAGGAAATGATTGTTTTTAGGCACACTGCTTTAGCATCACGTTTGCTTTATACCTTGTACTTAAAGCGTTTTTCATTTGGCAAACATATTGAGCAACTACTATGTGCTGGTTCCCGTACTAAAGACTACAGATATATAGGGAGTTACAAACGCGTGTGCCTGCTTTCACTGAACCTATGCTTTAGAGAAGAGAAACAAAGACATGATGCAAAGACGTGATGAAAAGCTTTAGGTGTAATGGTGGACATGTAGACAGGTCCCAGTAGGCGTAGCACAAAGGAAGTATTGGGAGTGGGAGCAGAATCTGGGAAACTTCAAGGAGGAGGTGCCCCTCGAATCTTGAAGAAGAGGTCTCCTTCAAGTGGACAGGACGCAAGGAGGGAAGGACACCTCTGGCAGAGGGAAGGGCATGAACACAAAAGCAGAGATGCATAGAGCCTGGAGAGTAAAGGCCACTGTTAGTGGCTCTGAGTGTCACTACCGAAATGAGACGTGGGAGAGGAAGGGGCACAGACAAAAAGATGAGATAACTTTTATGTTTGTCACAACTTTGCCCAGATTCAGGCCCGTAACCACTCTATATTTTCCCGTTTCATAAAATAGCTTTAAGTCCTACCCGCATAAAGTTGGAAGCATCTGTATTTGCAAGAAAGTTTTGTTTCCAAACTTGTTTTACTGGTATTTTCCACATAGACAAGGTGCTGAATGGCACAACAGGATTGGTTGATGCTTTACTATTTACTGTGTATTCATCTGAACCGGTTAAAGACTTTCTCCTTCTCTTCTTAGAAAAAACAACAGCCAAAAAAAAAATTCGATTAGCCATCCAGATTTCTGGGACCCCAGAGCAGTTGTTAGCTTCCTAAATGTTAGCATTATTCTGGAATATTTTTCACCTAAGGTCTACACCATCCATGTTTCCATTCCTTCCTCCCCTCCCCTCCGCCCCACTCCCTGGCTGCACTTGCAACATTGGTTACCATCTGGTGAGAATGGGTCCTTTTTATTTTGCTGTGGAATCTATTAGCTATTGTATTAGAGCTCACAGGAATGAATGCTTGGTGCTCCTAAGAAGCTGACATGTGATATATTTCCCTCTCAAAATTGGAGAGTCTTTATCTGCTGTTGACTACAGGCTATCTTGCATGAGCATCATTCCTGCCTTTTCAACAGGAGCTAGTCTAGTGCAATAGCCATTTGCCATAGGGAAACTCCATTACCTCTCGTTACCAGAAGGATAGATCCTGTCTGCTGTTTACACTGAAGATGGGAGAAATTTAATTAAATTCTTTCAAGTGCTAGATTTACTTACACTATCAATTTACTGCTAAGCCCACCATTCTCATTTTGGAGAAAGAGAATAGGACCATATGTCTCCAAGTTATCAACTGTCGGTACTTCCAGTAATAGTTTTCTGCTTAGAATCAAAAGAAAGATTTGGGTTTTTGAGTCCCCAAAGCCCTCTAGTGAGAACCTTACGGACTTCGTGATTTGGAACTGAATTTACTATACACTTTTGTTTCTTGGAATGAGTTTTGCAATAAATCCACTATCTTATTTGCAAAATGTCTTAGGGCAAAGTCTGGCAGCTTCTCCAAAGAGTAGCTCTCTTGCCCCATCACTGCCTGGTGAAAAACTATGCAACAGTCAGATCGAGCAGTAATAAATCATCCACATCTTTGGCCAAGTGACAAAATACTGGCCTGTGAGGTAAAGCTAAAGAAAGCAATGATAAGGGCACACATCCATTGACATGGAACCTATATAAATACTAAGGGAAACTTGGTTAAAATTTCTGATGCCAGAGATAAAGATTTCGTAATCCTATCTAGAAAATGATATTATGGGAAATCTTCTCCCCTCAAGTTTCAGTTTAGATGACTATTTAATTTAGAGATGGAACAGAGATACATGTGCATTTTCACATTTCTCAAATCTGTATCCAAAATGTCTGATATTTGGATCACAGCTGAGAAGAATTCTATCCCAAATTAAATGGGGCATGGAGCCTGTCTACAAGTAGCTTATAGTGCAGTTGGAAAGATGGGATTTCCACACATGGCATCGTGAAAGTCAAAGAAAGTTTGTGATGGGGGGGGGGTGCACCTGGGCGGCTCAGTCAGTAAAGCGGCCGACTCTTGGTTTCAGCTCAGGTCACGATCTCGCGGTTCGTGAGATCGAGCCCTGTATCAGACTCTGTGCGGGCAGCATGGAGCCTGCTTGGACTGCTCTCTCTCCCGGTCTCTCTGCCCCTCCCCTGCTCAGGCATGCACGGGCTCTATTTCTCTCTCAAAATAAATAAACTTTATATTAAAAAGGAAGTTTGTGATGAAGGGTGAAATGTGTTTAACTTAGTGTAAACGTGCAGGGTACAGTCACATATCAGGAGCTATGGAAAGTTAGGAAGAGAAACAAGGATTAACAGTGGCTCACATCTTGGGGAAAATTTCATGAAGAATGTGCAGTTTATGCCATGTCTCAGAGGCTGGGCATGTTTTGGATGCACAGAGGGACGAAGAAGGAGTGACTATGGTAGGCAGAAGGCAAAGAAGAGGCCAGGCTGCCTAGGTTGGAGTATGTGAGAATGTTGGCCAGGCAGGGTAGACTCAGACTTGGCAATGCTAGCTTAAGAATTTGGTTTGGGTTCCACCGGCAAGAAAGTGCCATCAGGATCCATTGAGCAGTGTAGTGACACGATGCAAGTAGTGTTGTGGGAAAATTAGACCAAGATTTGTGGGATTACATATGGCTGTCCAGATGGCAAATGCACCAGTTGCAAAGATTCTTACTTGCCAGTACGGTGAGCAGGGAGCTGACTGTGGAAGGAAAGAGGCTGAAGGCTGGCATGAAACCAGGCCACAATGGAGGCTAGGATCAGCCAGGAAAAATTCAGATGGGGAGAACAGAGAATTTCAACTGGCAGCATGGAAGAATTGAAATGAAACATTCTGATCATTCAGATACAGTGTTTCCAAATGACTCAGGGGAGAAAGGACACTAAGGAGAACAGGAGAGTTGGAATAGTGAGGCCCCATTATTATCTGGCCACTGCTTCTCTCTACAGCTGTAACTTTTGTTTTTGAGAGAGAGGGAATGGGGTGGGGGAGGGGCAGAAAGAGAGAAAGAGAGAGAGAGAGAGAGAGAGAGAGAGAGAGAGAATCTCAAGCAGGCTCCACATCCAGCACAAAACCTGATGTGGGGCTCGATCTCATGACTATGAGATTGTGACCTGAGCCTAAATCAAGAGTTGGAAGCTTAACCAACCGAGCCACCCAGGCGCCCCTCCAACCTAATTCTGATGCATGTGCCATTGTATTGAACTGCCTGTGGCTTCCTGAAATCAGTGTTTTCTCACCTCTCTAGGCCTGTGTCCAGAACACTCTTTCCCTCATTTTTCCTGAATGAAATTATTGTAGGCAGAATGGCCCCCAACAATATTCAAGTCCTAACCCCTGGAACTTGTAGCCATATAGTAAAAAGGACTATGCAGATGTAATTAAGGTTACATTCCCCAAGATATGGAAGGTAATCCTGGATTATCTAGGTGGGCCCAATCCAATCACATGAGCCCTTGAAAGCAGAGAACTTTCTCCAGCTGGAGTCACAGAGATGTGGCAAAATAAGTCAGAGAGATTTCGAGTGGGAGACAAACTCAACTCAGTGTTGCTGGAGGGAGGCCACATGGAAACCGCGAGAAGGGACAAGGGTGGCTTCTGGAAGCAAATACTGGCCTCTGGCTGATAGCCAGCAAGGAAACAAGGACGTCAGTCCCACAACTATAAGGAGCTGAATTTAACCATTAATCTGAATGCTTGGAAGTGCATTCATTTCCAGAGCCCCAGAAAGGAATGTGGTCACTGACATCTTGGCATTGACCTTATGTAAGTCAAAGCATAGGAAGCAGCCAAGTCACACTGTACCCAGACTTCTAGCCCACAGAGCTAGGAGATAATAAATGGAGGCTGCATGAAGACAATGCATTTGCTATAATTTGTTACAGTGGCCATAGGAAATGAATATAGTGCCCTTTAACACTCAGCTCAAACATCCTACTTCTGGGAAGGCTTTCCTGAGCCCC